GTTGCGGGGCCTCGGATGTCCTGTTAGGAGAGAAGAGTCAGTCCGCTTTCCTTCAGAGAGAAGGTTCAGCTTCAACTCTTGGAGTTGCGCCTGTCCTCAGTTAATCCCACAAATTTTATTGGTTAGGATGTGAGTCCTTCCTTTCCAACATTCCAAAAGGGAAAAAAGAAAGAAAAATGTAGGCCGTGCAGAAGCTGGTAAGTACCCTAGCCACATGGCCCATATAGGGCAGAGCCAGAGCCCGGCCCCTGGGTGTCCCATAGCTCTTCGTTTACCCAGAGACAAGAATAGGGCTCTTCAAGTTTAATTAAAAACAGGATGTCTCTGCTGGGCCTCTCATTGATGTTGCTAAAAATAAAGTAGGGAAGTAGCCTGGCCTCTTCATGGTTTAATTCCATTAAATTGGGGAGGAGTGGGGGAAAATTGGAGCTAATAAAAGACATGATTTGTTTCAGATTGCTGTCTGGAGTTGGATCTTTTCTCTCTCCGTGCTGTAGAGTCCTAGATGTTGAAGTTCTAATGCAATCGGCTCTGGGTTGTTGATGCCGTGGGAAGGGAGAGAAGGGACAGACAATCCCCTTAAATGTGGTTTTGCCGTCATCCACTTACTCACTGCTGGGAGCACTGGGACTCATCACCTCAGCTCTTTGCTCACTGCTCTAGTACCACCCATGTCAGAGACCTGGTTTTGTGTGATCCTCATCTGTGGGTTGAGGTACATTAAAAAAAAAAAAGAAAAAATCTAGTCAGTGCTACGAGAGCCTCTGAAAATGCGAGCCTCTTAAAGGAGCACTCACTCCCTCCTCAACCCCACAATGTACTCAGATGTTGTGCTTCTTGCCCCCTTCCAGAAGTCCCATTTGCAAATATATTCATGTATGGGCATCTTGACTTTCTTCATTTTTTTGTTTTGTTTTGTTTTTGTTTTTTTGTATTTACTTATCCCAACTTCACTCCTTTCTCCTTGTGGCTAGACTAAAACTCTTAAAAACTTCCTGTCGATTGTCAGAGCCTCATTTTCTAATACAAATCCATTTGTTTGCTTGGTCTTTCATTCATTTGTTCAACAAGAGTATTAGGGAATAATCTCTAGGTTATTACACAGTTGACTTCCCATCAGAATCCCATAATGATAATTTTACAAGCCTTAACTCTTAGAGGCTGAGAGTTACACAGAATGTTCCAGACTAGTGGGTTTTACTTGTACCGTGTGACCGAGATGTAGAATAAATAAGGAATTGTATAACTATTATTTAGGCATTATTAGATTCACTATACCCATTTAAGTAATACTCATAAAAAAATGGGGTGCTTTTAGTCTCCAGTGTGGTGTCTCCCAAGCCCTCTGCCAGAGGATTGGTGAGGTATAAAATAAGAAAAGCCACATTGGTCTTGTTAATAACTGAATCCCCATCACCTAGCACAGAGTAGACACTCAATAAATAATTGTTAAATAAATTGTGGATAATTATTCTTTAATTCTCTAAAGACCATTGCCTGCAAATATGGGAATAGAGGTAGATTTAGGAAATAGGTGTAGATAAGAAAATCAAATTTATTATCAGTTCCATCTCTTTCTTGCTCCTTGGAGAAACATAAATACCTTAAGGTGGTCTGTGAGGCCTCAGTGGTCTGCTCGAGGGGCCTATCTTATGCTACGCTCCCCTGCATGCCCTCTTGGCCTTAACATCCTTCCTGCCTCAAGTGTCCAGACATGTGTTTCCCTCCGTCCTTTACCTCTTTAAGCTCTAGGCTTTCTTCATCTCTTTGCTCAGTCACCACTCCTCAGCGTGGTGACTCTCACATCCCTAATCTTCCCGACAAGGCCCAATTTCCCCATTACATCATCTCATAAGACCATGCATCTTCCTTTGTAGCACTGTTCTCAACAAAAGTTTTACCTTTAGTTTCTTTTTGATTATTTTAATAACGTCGGCCTGCCTTATTTAATAGTAAACCGCATGAAGGCAAAGGTTCAGTAGAACATAAGGCTTGTGATCAACTGTACAGTAGTTGATCAATAAATGTTTGGTGCATGATGGAGTGAATGGATGAGTGAGTGAGAATGGGGGAGAGAGTAAGCGAAGAACAGTGGTTTTATTAACCTGGATTTGTGGGTGGACTCTCGAATCCACGAGCCCCTGAAGCTGTCTGCAACGGCAAGCGTGTATCCATGAGCACATTAGCTTGGTTTCTAAGGTGAGAGCCCATCACTTTACACAGACTAAGAACCTTTAAGGAGTTTCACGTGAATATGTTTAATCATATGAAGAAAGAGAGAAGAAAAACAAGAGGATGGGACCACGAGAAAAAAAAATTATGAAAGTATAAAGGGGGAACTTTATAACAGAAGCAGGATAGGAGAAAATCGAGAGGAGGAAGAGCATGACGAAGGCGATGGGGTGGGCAACAGTTATGCCTTAATGAATCCTGAGCCCGAGCCTGTGCAACACCTGTCGGGGGTTCAGTGAATAGCCAGAGCCCATCGCTGCCCTCACATCTGAAAGGAGAGTGTCCCGGGTCACTACAATTCAGGGTGAGTGGAACGAAATGACGCAGGAGAGGTTTAGATGGAGCCATTTGCTGGCACAGAGGAAAGGAGATGACACAGCAGCGTGGACGGCTTCCTAGAGGAAGGTAATGTGCCCTTAACATGGATAGGATTTCGAGGAGAGGGGAGAGGGGCTAGTGAGCACTCAGAGAAGAGAAGAGTGTAAACAAAGCTGCTGGTCCCAGAAACCAAAGTGTGTGTTGTACGGGTGACCAGGTTCTCGACAACCTTTGCGAAGCATCTGAGGTGGCCAGTCATAGACACAAAGCAGGTGGCACCTGGAATTACCAAGTGAGATGACCTTCCTGAGGCCAGAACAGACTCAGGGAAGGAACAAACCAGCCCCAAAGAGGGTTGAAGATATGTAATTACACAGCATCCCTAAGACTTCTGACAAAAAGTAAACTTACGGTCTCCTCCACATCATTTCTACAGCTCCTGAAACATGGCAGCTCTTGATCCTTTGAAGTGGTCATACTTATATATGACCTAGTGAGATACTGGTTTCTAGATACTATTTTTGTTATTGTTGTCTTAAGATTCCTGGGCTTGGGAATTCACAAAATATTTAGACTGTGTAAGTTTGAAATTCCTGTGAGGGGGGTGTGTGTGTGTGTGTGTGTGTGTGTGTGTGTGTGTGTGTGTTCATCAGTTGGTGCCACTGATTCTCTTTTAACTGGTCAAGAGTTACAGAAAAGTTTCCATGTGGGAGAAAAGAAAGCCAAGGAGAGGGTGCGAGGCCTCAGGACATCGCTGGAATGGAGACTCCTGCTTTCTGCTCCTTTTACTAAATATTCACCTGCCCTATAAAATCTCAGCACCTCTTTCTCTCATTTGTATAAATAGCTCTAGCTCTATGTCCTTCCTAGTTCCCCCAAGGAGTCAGGTATCCCCAGCAGCTTGGCACTTTAACTGCAGCACAGATGGCGGTAGACCTGGGCTGGAGGGGACGGCAAGTAGGGGTCCTGGAGGAAGACAGAGTATGGCTCACCTCTTGCCTCTAGAGCACACTTCAGTGAATGTTTCTTGGGAAAACTGACTGTGGCCAAGTTTATCCCAATGACATCCATAATCCCAGACAGGGCCACAGCTGTGAGCTTGACCTTCCTCCCAGATGGAATCACTGTGGAGGCTGCTTTGGAGTGCAGCAAGAGCTTTGGATGGGTTCAAGACAAACTCAGGGAGCCTGGCCCAAGGGGTCCCTACGGGGTAGGATCAGCCCAAGGGTCAGCACACTGGGTGACCCCCTTTCTCATTCTTATTTTGTCACTGGAATTAGAATGTTTATCACCCTTTCTCCAGAACACTTTAGGGACTTGAGGCACATTGATCCTAAACAAGACTGTAAAGCAGACGAGCTCAGCCGTTCGTACCAGCTTCTCTCCCACAGTTCCCACTGAGAGGCTCGCTCCCTTCAGCTGCCTTCTCTTCTCGCCCCTCTCCAGCTCTTCCACTGCACGCACGGCTCCAAAACTTTCCAGATTTTTCTGCCCAACCCCTGGCAAAATCTACATTTTCTAAAACTCCTTCCCGAGCTATAGTTCCCAAATGAATCTGATTAGCAAAGTCATGGTCTGGGGATGAAAACAAGGACTTTACATTCTTCTTCTCACATAAAAACTAGATTTGACAACTGAGGCCTGACTGAGTACCATGGAGTGGGGATGGGATCCACATGTAGCAAGGGAGACGGTTTCAGTGCTGCTTACAAAGCTTTCATTAGAACCCTCTTGTGCTCATCAGATTTCAGATGTACCCCGCTTATCTCAAGCCTGAGATTGAGTAATTATTTAATCTAGAACTCAGGTTTGCAGATTGTTATCATCTTAGGGATATTTGGGATTCGCTGAGAAGACATGTGAGACAATTGTCACAC